GAGATGGACAAGCTTGGAGTCTGGAACAAAGGCAGACCAGGCCAACTTTCAAACGACTCGAGTTACCACTGACGCTGGTTTTGTGCCTCGTCATTTAATTAGATACAATTAATAACAGTAACGGCCTTGTTTCCCCTGCTTCTTCTCCCCCTATAATGTGTTCCTGATATCAGTACAACTTTCCTGTTTGCGCATCTTGGATTTCAAGCGATCTGCTTGGTTCTCAGGCAGTTTCCAAGGAAACTGCTTGAATTCCAAGATGTTCTTTTTACCATGAGGAAAACCAAGCACGGTAAAAATAGTAATTCAAGACCTGTTCTTGGATGCCTGTGACGTTCTCCATAAGATCCAAGAGATCGGGTCTTGAAATACAAGAAACTTTTTTCACCGTGAGTATACCGGGTGTAACTGTGAATGGGCAGCAGTGTTGCGGGATTGCACACCCGCCAGGGCTGCAGGGGCCATGGTCCCTTAGGGGCGAATTGAGCAGGCAAACCCGCAACACTGCTGCGCATTCACAGTTACACCGGGTACACTAAAGACGCACTGAGACCTGGAACACATTTCCATTGCGTGCTGTCCTCAGCCCGTCTTCTCCCGTTCCCAGGTGATGCAGAAGTCATGTCGCTGCACCTTCATGTACGGCGAGCTCACCGACAAAGAGACCATCTCCAGGATCGACATGGTGCTGGACAACCAACTGCACGACCAGTTCGAGATCCTGCTCTACAAGAAAAACAGTAAGCAAGTTCGCTCCGCCACCCACCGCCGCCGCCGCCAGCGACCCGCGCGGCCGAGGGAGGGGAGGGGATGTGATATTGGTGTGGTCAAGGGCGTCGTCGTCGTCGCTGTGCGCTCAGGGGGACAGGGGGGGGGGTAAAGAGGCGTGGGACGGGGTGGGTTAGTCCGCTCCGAGTAATCTCGCGTCTCTGGTACCGCGGTAGTGCAGGGTAGGGGGAGGGGGGGGGGGGGGGGGGGGGGGGGGGGGGGGGGGGGTACGGGTGGCATGAAACGCGACAGCACATTCGAGCGGACGGCTCTTTCTCGTGGGCGCGGGGGCGCGGGGGAGAGCACAACAACTCGATGCCTCTTCGCCGCCGCCCCCCGCGGCTCTCTCAGGCTTTTAATGAGAAAGCTTGACAAGTTTGCGGCGTGCGCGCGCCTCAGCGGGGCGTGCGAGAGCGCACGGCGCAAAGCGTGTCCATGTCGCGTTTGTTTGTTTGTTTGTTTCAATAATCGGAGGACGACGGGGAAGAGGCGGTGGGACTGCCGGAATGGACATACTGTGTTGTGGTGTAACCGCAAATGAAAAGTGGAGTCCTCAATGTGGGCCTTATAAGTGTGCATCGGAGCGTGCGTGCGTGAGTGCGTGTATGTATGTATGTATGTATGTATGTATGTATGTATGTATGTATGTATGTATGTATGTATGTATGTATGTATGTATGTATGTGTCATTAAGTTTTTCCTTTAAACCTGTGTGAATTAGCGGTGGGGGCTGGGTTGGGCACTAACCCTGTCGAGTGTCGTGTGCTCGAGTAGTTGACGTGGAAGGGGGGGCTTGTTAAGGAGTTCCGACGCGACGCGTTTGCGACGCGAAGTGACTGTGCTTTGTCTACTCGCACGAGTCCCCCCATCTACGCCGCGAAATATGAATGTGGGAGAAGTATCCCCCCTGGGGTGTTCAACACCCCCGTTCTCCGACCTTAAATATGCGCTACGCGTCACACCCTACGCCACCGACACTTTAGTGGGAGGAGGAGGGGGGGGGGGGCAACAAGCCAAGCGCCCTAGGGTGCTCGGCTTCCCTTACCCCCTCTCCTGCTTTTCCAATGCTTTTTCAGTCATGTCTTTATTTTTTCCCTTCGTTCCCCACAGGGTCCGCTAGGGTTTGAAAGTGTGACATTAAACTTTACTGGCCTGTCCGGAGGGAGGCTACTTACTTAGGGGTGATGCCCCCCCCCCCCGGTCGCCTCACACGTATATCTGTATCAACAAAAAGGAGCAGCTGATAGTCTTCCTTTTGTTTGTTTTTTCGCTAATTTCGCGCCGCATCGCGCCGTCATAGCAGCGGTGATGATCGCGTCTGTTCTCTTTGTGCTCTCATCCCTCCCTCATCATTATTCTCGCGCCTTTTATTCCCCTCTCCCCCATCCCCTCTCTCTCTATCTCCCTCTCGTACGCGAAAGAATGTACGATCAATAATCGCGTCGTCGACGTCGCCGTCGTCGTCGTCTTTTATTGTAGAGGGCAGCGTCAAGTCCATTGTTTTTCCGGCCGATGTGCGATGAGAAGGCTGATTTCACAACTTCACCCCCATGCCCCCCCCC